TTCTGGCCGGTAATTTTCAATTATACTATTTTTTTTTCTTCGGTTAAATTCATTTATACTATTTGTTTATTTAAATTTAAATAATAGTTCCTTTTGAACGCATTATTCCATTATTCCAACCTTTCTAGCCAACAAATAGAAATCGGCCAAAACAAAAGCCAAAACGAAAAAGAAAGAGTAATTGTATATTGTTTTTATAGAGATATATATATAAGATCGATATATTCATCTTACTGCACGTGTAGTATTACATATTATATTACAATATCACTATAGATAGCTAGTGAACAAACTTTATAATAGAGTTATAGTTCCATAAGAATCATCAGAAAATGGGAGAAATCACTCTAAGGCCGTATGAAGTATCCGATATTGATGAATTCCTAGAATGGGCAAGCGACGAAGAAGTGATCCGTCTAAGCAGATTGGAACGCTTCAATTCAAGAGAAGATGCATTGTGTTATTTCAAGGAAGTTGTGATACCCCATCCATGTTACCGAGCCATATGCTTGGACGGTCGTCCGATTGGCTTCATATTTTTCGAGCCGGGCTCCGGTAAAACGAAGTGCAGAGGGTTAATCGGCTATGCATTAGGAGCCAAGTATTGGGGCCAAGGCATAACAACAAAGGCTGTGAAAATTCTTACTTCGGCTGTGTTTAAAGAGTTCCCGGAGATTGAGAGAGTGGAAGCATTTGTTGATGTTGAAAACAAGGCTTCCGCAAGGGTGCTGGAAAAGGCTGGGTTCCAAAAGGAAGGTATTCTTCGGAAATGGATTGTGCTCAATGGGAAAACTACTGATGTTTCTATGTTTGGGCTTTTATCCACTGACCCAGTTGTGGGTACTAATTAATTCTCCTTTTACCCTTTATCTTTTTTATTATGTTTAAGAATAAAAATTATACTTGCACTTGATAAAAGAACATTGCTTAAGCTTGGAGCAAAGTTTTCGATCAAAGAAATGGGTAGTATTCTTTAGAATGTTGATGTATAAGCTGCTTAAAAATGATTTGGTTTAATGGATGGGATATTTCTTTATGGTACAGTACGATATCATGAAGAAAAATTTATCTGTGTACGGTTGAGAATTGTAGTATCAGTTGTTTACAATTTTAAGAACACAAGTTGTTTTCATTAAGTTTTCGGAGAAATTTTTGCTGTTTTTTCCCCCAAAATTATTAATTAGAAGAAATTATTTGATTTATAGTACCAAATAAATTATTTGATTCATATTACTAAATTGAGATATCATTATATATACATGTCATTCGTGCTCCTAGCTAACTAATAGCATTGTCAAGTCAGAAAAATAACACCTAAAATGTAACCATAAACTTATACTAAAGTTTTAAAAAATAGAATGTCCTAAAATTTAAGGATATGATCGTGGAAATGTTTAATTAGCTTGTAGCATAATTTTTTAGTTGCTATAGAAATATAAGTTGGGACAATGAATGACGTAGATGATTAATTTTTTGTTAAATTATGCATTTGTGCTTTTGACTCAATCAATACATACTTTTTAAGACCTTATGATATCTTATCCAAGTTTGATGTGAATTTCGTCCAATATATTCTGTTTTGTTTGGAATATTTGAGAAACATGTACCTTCTATTGCTTCGAAAATTATGAGAAGTATATATGATAAGGATTTATTAAAAAGTTAAAAAGCATATATTGTATTTAATATAATTAATTACTTGGCCAAAAAATATAATCAAGAAACCATATTACTATCAATATTCTCTTACTCTCCTCCGAGAAAATGGTGGTTAATTTCCATCTAAAATTCGTTGAAACTAAATGATTGTAAAAAATATTGTTATTTCATTAACTTTGCATAAATGAAGAATTTAAAATTTGAAGATGAAGGATAACATTGTTGTATATGAGAATAACTGATGTAACCAAATGAAAATGATGTGGAGAAGAAAAAGAAATAAATGGAATAGGCAAGTTACTTTCTCAAGGATAATAGTTTTCCCCACTATGATGCAAATGGACTCTTGGAAACGTTATCCTCAGGATATAATGCATATTTGAAGAGAGAAAGAAATATTGCATTTATAAACTTCTCTTGAACATACTTGAACCCGATCCAAAAATAAGAGGAAGAATAAATCTTGTGGGAGTGAGAGATGTAAGAAGAATTATGAATTTTATTATTGTTATTGTTGTGTTTAATTCCAATGAAACAAAGTGTATTTATAGATCTCAAGAGATGTGTCTTAAACACCCTTAAACGAATAGACACATCTCCAATTAAAGATGTAATCTCTCATAGAAAAACACATTTTTCATGTTTCATAGAAAGACACCTTTTCATGTTTCTGCAGATTTTGGATCTTCACAGCTATTCATCAAATAACTTCAATTTATCAGAAAATATTATTAGGAAATATAACAATTGTATATGACTCTAATAGACAACAAACATATGCTTTAATTAAACGGAATTGTCCTGTAATGAGTTCACAAACCTCAAATTCTATATTAGTGCACTCTCCAATTTGTGCTGGCAATTCATTTAATATTACTACTAGTATTTGTTTACTTGAATAATTGTTCCTTGTGATCAACGCATTCCAACCTTCCTAAATTCTAACAAAAAAAAATATTTGCAACGTATAGTTTTTATAGAGATAAGAGAAATATTCATCTTATTAATTATTGCACATTGCAATTCTTATATATATCCACTACATTATATAATATCAAATATCAATATAGTAAACACACGTTAGAGTTGACTATAGTTATTGTATATATACTATATATAGTCCCTCACGAGAAAAATATACCAACAGAAAGGAGTATTAATTAGTTTCTAGCTAGGAATCATCAGAAGAAATGGGAGAAATCACCCTAAGGCCCTATGAACTATCTGATATTGATGAATTCCTAGAATGGGCAAACGATGAGGAAGTGATTCGTCTTAGCAGATTGGATCGCTTCAATTCAAGAGAAGATGCATTGTGTTATTTCAAGGAAGTTGTGATGCCCCATCCATGTTACCGAGCCATATGCTTGGATGGTCGTCCGATTGGGTTCATAGCATTCGACCCGGCCGGTTCCGGTATATTCAAGTGCAGAGGGTATATCGGCTATGCTTTAGGATCAAAGTATCGGGGCCAAGGCTTAACAACAAAGGCTGTGAAAATGCTTACTTCGGCTGTGTTTAAAGAGTTTCCAGAGATTGAGAAAGTGGAAGCAGCAGTTGATGTGGAAAACAAGGCCTCACAAAGGGTGCTGGAAAAGGCTGGGTACCAAAAGGAAGGCCTCCTTAGGAAATGGATGGTGTTTAAAGAGAAAACTACTGATGTTTTTCTGTTTGGCATTTTATCTACTGACCATGTTGTTAGTACATATTAATGCTTATATCAATATGATTGTCTTTTTTCAATTTGGGAGTTGGGGGGCTTAAATTCTCTTCTTTGTGTCCTTTATTTTGTTGATGTTTAAGAATAAGATTGTACTTTTTTAAGAGCGAAAGATTATTATTACATGGATGACTCTCAATCAGTTTTGATCATAACCAATAAAATCCTGTTAACTCATAATCATTCTTAAAATTAAGGCTCCAAGCGTTAGGGTCAACTTTAATAAGGTATGATTCACAGGGTAAGCCTTTAAATTAAGAACAAGATAAATTGGCTTTTTAGACTTAGGTTCATTTTGCTATCATAAAGAACACATATGGGTTTCAACAATTTTTTTTTTTAAGAAAAGATTGTAATTTTTTTTGAAAGGCAAAAAGATTTATTCATATATACTACTCCCTCTGTCCCATTTTATAAGTCTCTTTTAATTATATCATCAAGATTAAGAAAATTAGTTAGGGCTCAAAATTTTGTGTAGTTTTATATTGTTATTCTATTTTTACCTCTATACTCTTTCCCCCACTCACTCTCTCTCCTCATACTCACTTTCTTAACTATCCTACAATTTTCAAGGCTAATTTTGGAAACAACTTATAAATATGCATTGAGTTCGGTTCCTGTCCGGTGGATGTAATGTCCAATGAAATCCAATGCATCCTTGGATGAATGCCACGTTATATTTTCCCTTTAAACGGTCTAGATTTTTTTACATTAATTATATACACTATCAACCTTTACAAATTACCGTTAATGGTTATTTAACTCTGTCAAGACTAGCTTTTTCTTTTTCTTTTTCTTTTTTTCTTTTTTTCAATTTCCCAGCCAAACCAGATGATCGAAATTCGAAACTGAACAGGCTGTGCGAATTCCAAATTAAATTAATTTTCAGAAGTATTTATTTTTGTTGAGTTTACATAATCTTTAAGCCATACTTTCTTAAAAAAAAAAAAAAACTTAACCCAAACTAACTCGTCACAAAAATAACAAGAATTAATTGGAAAAATTGCTTCAAATAACGGAAAGAAAGAGACTACCCTAATAATGATATAATAAACGAAGAGGAAGAATAGTTTTTAAATAGAATAACTTCTGGGCAAAATTTTCGTTGTGAAATAAAAACAAACATCTGGACTGCACAAGCACAATAAAGGTGGTCAAAAATCAAACAACTCTTGATTATCCACAAGCAATTTTAAGAATAAGGAGAACATCAAATCCAGTTAAGCCCTTAATTATCAAGGCTTGAATCAACAATCCTCAACACCCACAAGTTTTCAACGATCAAAATTGTACTTCTAGAGAAAAAAAATGTAAGAAAATGACGGCAATGTATATTGGCTGAAAGATGATTGAAGGAAAAAAAACGAGAGAAAAAAAAGTCGTGATGAACCCAGATCGTCTTTGATGATAAGTGAATAGGAGGAGGAATTAAAATATTTTAAGAAATTAAATTGAGAAGAAAAAAAAAATTAAACGACTTTTGTTTTCCCGTGAAACTAAACGGTGTTAAAGTCAACTAACAAATACTTAAATGAGGGTAGGTTACTCGCAAATTTGGTAATGTAATCTTAACCTTTTTTTTTTCGGTACAATAGCAAAGTATGATAGAATTAAATATGGGTCAAGGCCATGAGTATGAGATCCACGCTCTAGCCGCTTGTTCTGCCATCTTCCTTGCTTCTTTTGCTAGTGGATGACGACCCCTGCAAAATGCTATCAACTTGAATTCCTTGCTCAACTTCTTGATATCCTCCAACAGTAGTTGCTTTTGCCAAGTAACACATGTCCTTGCTATCAGCGCATTTATCCATCTCTTGTCACCATTCTGGAAATGGACTTCCTCAGCTCCACATTCTCTCAATCTTTGGTACGCCAACCGTGCCAGCTTCAGTCTCGCCAACCATGCCTCTTTTGCTTGAATGCTCTTACTTAACAAAATAGTGTTGCCTTGTGAGTCCCTTGCTAGCATACTAGCTCCGAACCAATTTGCTCCTTGTCGTTTTCTTAGGTCCACCCAGACAATCCATCCGTTCGTCGGCAAAAGTGGATAGCCCCCATTGATAACAATCGGCACTCTTATTTCCAGCTTGTTTCTCTTCATTCTTTCGTTGGTTTCCTGGTTGTTTTTATAGGCCGATTGTATCCATGAACTTGTGTGTTTAACTTTGTGAATCACTGCTATGGGGTTTGGGTTCAATCCCTGAAAGATTACCTCGTTTCTCTGGACCCATATGTACCATAGGTTGAGGACCAATTCATTTGTGAACCACTGCATTTCATCATCTTGCGCTCCATTTTTGTCCAGCCAAGTTGCAATCCATTCAATCCAATTTATGTTGATAAAGTTCTCCACTCTCAGGGTGAGGGTTGATGCAAACCATACTGCCCGTGCAAAAGTACAATGCCAAAATAAATGATCAAGAGCTTCCACACCTTGGTTGCACAAAACACATTGTGTGTTTGTGTTGACTCCTCTTTTTACCAATTCAACTTTTATTGGTAAACAATTATTACAAAGTTTCCACAAAAAGATCACAAATTTATAAGGCATTTTCAGTTTCCACAGAGTATTCCATTTACCTTCATCCCTAGTAGTGTGCTCGTTACCATGATTTCCACTAACCATTTTGTAGGCAGCTTTGACAGAGAATTGCCCATTTGGTTCAGCTTTCCAAACTAGTTTGTCTTCCCCTCCAAAGCAGGAGGTTTCATTTTCCTTCAACTTCTCTTTCTCCTGAGGCTCTAGGAGCACATTCATTAACAATTCATCCCATTGTTTTTCTCTTGGGCAAATGATTTGACTCCCCCTTAAGCCTATGCTCTGTTCATTTGATTGTTCAAAGTCTCTTATCACCTTCCCATCTTGTATGATCAATTTATTTCCACTCACCACTTGGACATCCATACCTTGGACACAGACATCCCTTCCTATTAAGATGCTTTTCCACATCCATGTATCTGTTGGCTTGGCCTTGACTTTCTCAAATTTTTCCTTATTGCAGTATCTTGGGAGTAGTTGTCTTGCTAACATGGACTATGGTTCAGTGAGTAACTTCCATGCTTGTTTTCCCTGCAAAGCTTTATTCATGTTCTCTACTGTTTTGATTCCTAGTCCCCCATTGCATTTAGTTTTTGTCAGGTGGTTCCATCCCTTCATATGCATTTTTCTTTCTTGATCCTCATGCCCCCACCAGAAGTTTCTCGTCATTTTATCAATTCTATCGCAGACATTTACCGGAGCTTTGAAACAAGACATTTTATATATAGGCAGGTTAGCTAGGGTGGATTTTAATCAAAGTTAATCTCCCCCTTGAGACAAAGTTTTAGCTCTCCATCCATCTAATTTTCCTTGCATTTTATCAACAAGTGGTTGAAAGAAAGCTCTTTTTTTCCTAAGCAAACCAAGATCGTGTCCTAGGTACTTACCCGGGTTCTGAGTGAGATTCACTTTCAGTATTCCTTTGAACCATCTCTTATGTCTCTGAGGGTAGTTGGGGCTTACCATTAGATCAGACTTGGAGTAATTGACTTTCTGCCCTAATAGGTAACAGAAGTTCTGAATAAGATCTCTAACCTTCCTGCAAGAAAGCACATTAGCTTTGAAGAAAAAATAACTATCATCCGCGAACATTAAGTGATTCACAGGATCACTTCCTCTACTGATTTTCACTCATTGTATCTCTTCATTGGCTTCTGCTTGAATGAATTTTAAAGACAGGACATTTTGACACAATATAAACAAGTAAGGAGACAAGGGGTCTCCTTGTCTCAGTCCCCTCTTGGGATAGAACACTCTTGTTGGAGCACCATTTATGAGGATTTGGTAGGAAACAGTTCCCACACACTCTTTAATGACTTGGATCCAATGTCCATTAAAACCCATGGATTCCATCACAGTCTCAAGGAAAAGCCAACTAACTCTATCATACGCCTTGTTCATGTCGAGTTTAAGTGCCCCTAGGATCCCTTTTCCGTTCTCTCGCTTTCTAATGGTTTCAATGATTTCCCCGGCTATTATGACATTGTCAGATATAGCTCTCCCTTTTATAAAAGCAGATTGAAATGGAGAAATTACCTCATTGAGTACTTCCTTCATTCTGTTCACAAGGACTCTCGAAATAATCTTATAGGCCACATTGCAGAGGCTTATGGGCCTATAGTCATTCACCACTGATGGATCCTTCTTCTTTGGTATCAATGCAATCAAGGTTTTGTTCAATTCTTTCAAAATATGCCCATTGTTCAAAAAATCAAAAGCAGATTGGGTTGTTAAATTTCCGACCACATCCCAATATTGTTGGTAGAAAGTAGCAGGCTTTCCATCCACTCCTGGGGCTTTCATTGGACCTAGCTGGAATGCGGCCTGTCTAACTTCCTCTGCAGTGAAAGGAGCATCTAATCTCGCTTGATGTTCCATGCTAAGTTGTGGTAGTCCAATTCCATGTAAATAATCTTCAACTTGTTACTTGGTTGCCTTTTCTTCCTCACCATAGCATTTTCCATATTCTTTGAGAAATTCATCTTCTATCTCCTTGATATCTTCTAATGTTTCACCTCTTCCATTTTTAATTGATAAAATCCTATTTCTCATTCTTCTTTTCTTTGTCAACGTGTGATAGTACTTTGTATTCCTATCACTATGAATGATCCAATTCTCTCTGGACTTCTGCATCCAATGCATTTGTTCTTGTTCCATTATCATCTCCAGTTCATTTCTCAGTACTTTCTCTTCATTTCTGCTCTCCATGTTCATAAGATCTCCTTGTAAAGCGGCTAATCTTTCTTCCATTTTTCTTCTCCTAAAACGTAGGTTACCAAAGGTATTCTTATTCCATCTTCTTAAACCATCACGTGAGCATTTTAGTTTCTGAACCAACTGGTAGGCTGCTGACCCTTGATGTTGTTGATTCCAAGCTTTTTTTATTTCTTCTTTACATCCTGGATGTGTTGTCCACATCCATTCAAATCTATATGGCCTTCTCCTAAAATGTTCACTTTTTTCCAGTTGCAGAATCATAAGCCCATGGTCACTCACTGTTAAGGGTAAATTAGTAAGCACTGCATCCGAGAAGCTCCTAAACCAAGCTGGATTTGCAAACGCCCGATCTAGTCTTTCCCAGGTAATGATTTCTTCTTCCCGATTACTAGTCCAGGTAAAATGTTGTCCCTTTGCTGCAACTTCACTTGGATTGCAGATGTCTAAACATTCTCTCAACGATTCAGCCCCTTGCAAGCTGTGTGAAGTATTTGAAAGTTTGTCCGAAGAAGATAAGACTTGGTTAAAGTCACCCAATATAAGCCAATTTTCATTTTCTGGTATTGATGTGCTAAACTGAATGACTTGATTCCATACATCTTGCCTTTTTTGTAGCTCAGGATGTCCATATATACATGACATCTAGAAATTTCCTTTGCAGCTTTTGATGTACAGGCAAATAAGATTTTTATTGCTAGAAAGCACTTCCACATCCAATGATTCATCCCACAAGATTAGTAAGCCTCCACTAAGACCTATGCTGTCCACTCCATTACAAAAAGAAAACCCCCAGCTTCTAACTTTTGATTTTGCTTTTACAACTGACATTTTTGTTTCCATGATAAAACAGAAATTGGGCTGAAACCTTTGAACTAATTCCCTTCCATGACTAATCGTTAGGGGTTGCCCCATTCCCCTAACGTTCCAGCATAGTGTATTCATGGCTCCATTGGAGGCTGTTCTGGGACAGCCTTCCACAACCCGTCAGCTTCTTGTCTTGTTTCAAGAGCAATTTGTTCACTTTCCTTATTGACCTCAAGCCTTTGCACTCTCCTTCTAAGTTGCTTACCTCTTGTTGTTTCTTGTTCATCTTTCTCATAAGAATCTCTTTTCCTTTTCTGACTCAATCTTTGGGAGTCTTCCAGAACTTTCTCCCCATGTTCTAAGAAAGGTGACCGTTTTCCTTTCATCATGCCTTCCGCAAAAACTTCAGCTTCCCTTGTTTCCTCTTTAGTCAGGTTTGGAAGAGTGTTCTCCACTTTATTCTGGTCATTTTCCTGCCCTGTATCTGTTCCACCACTCCACTGGCAATTTAAATTGTAATTTCTTACCTCTTCATTAGTTTCAGTGAGTCCTCCATGGACATTCATTTGCACTTGCAACAACTCATTTTTGCTCCCATTACCAGCTTCTCTATTCCTACAAACACCAATCGCACTTGACTCCACCCCTCTCGCATCATTTTTAACTACCAGCTGTCCCTTCGTAAAGAGGTCATCAAAATGCCTCTCTTGAAGATTGTCCTTAAGCTTCTGTTTCTTTTGGACCATCTTTTCATAGAGTGAGTCAATTTGTTGGTACTTTTCTATAAGAATTTGCGTGACATTTTCCGTGTTTATTCTATTTCCAATGCCCACTAGTTGATTTGTACATGACTTGACTCTGGTTTCATCCAAATCAAGCAAAGGTTCAAGCTCAGGAGTGAAAAAAGTAACTGGACTAGAAGGTACCTCTTGAACTGTTTGATTTGGTTGTCCTTGGTCATTATCAGCATTATATCCAGCATTTATATTCACTGGAGTGATATCCTCATCATCCATCTCAATAGGGGCAAAATTCTCCTCTTGAGCATTTGTGGCGTGCCCCTATTCTTCATTCATTTGGGAAGAACCTGTACTTCTATTTCCAGCAGTTTGCTCACCTTGTGTTTGCTCTCCCTTTCCATTTGCTCTTGATCTCCGGTTTGCAGAAGCTTTAATTCTGTTACTGTACAAGTTGTGTTTTAGATCATACATAATAAAGTTCCCATAGTCATGAGTTGAAGCTCTCATCTGTTCATTTATCCATCTTTCCACCTGGGCATTATCATGTGGACAATGTGGATGCGTGTGTCCTATACTTCCACATCTTAGACACACTTTCTCCAGCTTTTCATATCGAAACTTTGTCCACTGCACCACTCCATCATCCCTCTTCATCATGCATCCAGCAGCTAAAGGTTTACATGGATCGATCTTAACTTTGAGGGCATGAACCTTATGTTACGAGGCTTCCTATTTTGCCAGTCGATCTCAAGAACTTCCCCAGCATGCCTTGCAAGCCGGGAAGCAACAGAGGGTTGCTGATATTCAAAGGGCAACCCCCAGATTTGCAACCAAATTTCCATGGCTTCAAGTCCAGCCTCGCTAAGACTTTTGTTAGGATTCCAGCACTGAAACACAAAGAGAGCCCCTTGGAAAATCCATGAGTTTTCCTGCATCACACTAAGACGGTCAACTTCATGTTCAAAATAGACAAGATACCTGTGATCATCTCTACCCATCACTGTAATGCGCCCCTTGAGCCCCCATCTCTTTTCCATTGCAGTTTGAACTGTTTTTGATGTGAAGCGCCTCACATCCATGAGAAAAGCAACAAGACACTTAGCGCCCTCCTCTCTTTTTTCCGTCAGCTCGTCTGTTTCAAATTCTTCAAGGTAACCCCTTCTTTCCCTCATCCATGGTGACGGAGCGGGGTTCCATCCTTGACCTATGCCAACACTGTCATCACTCTCAATCGAATCTATGTTGTTATCCTTTCCGCTACACTCCCACGCATAGTGAATGCGAGGCTTTTTGGATTTGTTTGAATGTAATTTACTGGACTGTTTCTTAACTACTTGTGCTTCTATTTTTTTGGATGACGTTCCTTTCCAGTTTGGGTCTCCTTATATATGGTTTGTAGCGTCGATTGATATCCTCTCCACTATCTCGTTTGTCGGTCTTCATGGCCGTGTAGTAATCAAAACTCAAAAGCTATATTTGTAAATTCTTCTGACAGCCGTCTAGACTGAAGGTCGCAAAGCAGGTGATTACAGGACTGTTCACGATTGAGAAAAATTTTTGTTCTCACAACCGCATGCACTTTCGCCAAAATCATCCAGTATTAATCGATCACTACTTCTGATTTTTGAAGCTCTAATTTGCGAAGAGAGAAGCGAAACTCAAAAAGAAAACAAGGAAACAAAATCCCTTAATGGAAGATTTGGAACCTACAGAAACGAAAGAAGGTAATTTGGATATGGGTAAAGACAAAAAAAAAAGGGATATAAACAGATTTGGAGGATAAATGTTGCAATTTGGGTAATAGATTTGGTCAGATTTTTGCAGGGGAGGTGAATTGAGTCTAGGGTTAGGAATTGGGGAAAAGCTCCTGGAGGAGAAAAAGCTCTCGCAAACGAGAGAGGATTTTGCGCGCGTAATCTTAACCGTTTAAAACCTTTTAAATTAGGAATTATAACGTGGCATTCATCCAAGGCTGTATTGGATTTCACTGGACATTGTGTCCACTAGACAGGAACCAAACCTAATTAACAAGGAAAATCGAACTGCTCCTAGAGGTCATGAGACTCTTGTCATTTCATTTATGAAAATGAAATTACAAAGATAATACTCATAATTACAATAAATTGAGAAGATGTTCCATTACCTGCTATGAGTTCCCACTTAGACTGGCTAGCCCTTCTCTTTATCAATTTATAGGACCATCAAAAGACGGGCAGGCGGGCAGTAATCTGAGTCTTAGTTTGCGAATTGAGATTGTTAGTAAGGCTTCGGCCTAGGATAAAAAAAACAACTTCTAATTGTATTCGGTGAAATAAGATTCCAAATTATTAATCTATAATATTAAGGGTATTTTAGTGATTGACAAGGTATTTTAGTAATTGATTATTTAAGATTTTAAAGTATAATATTAAGGGTATTTTAGTAATTGACTAATTAAAATTTTTGAGTTCGTACTTTTATATAGTAGTATAGTATTATATATAGTAGTAGGATAAGTTATTTCCCTCTTACCAATGTATTATTTTTTCTTTTGGTTAAATTCTACCAATGTATTATTAGGAAAATGAAACTCAACAAAAACCAAATATTAACAGATCACAAATGTTACATTATGTTAGGAGGTGACATATATATATATATATATATATACATAATTATAAGATGGGTAATCAAGGGTGAGCTAGGTTGAATGGTTGAAGAAGCTTATGTTTTGGAGTAGTAAGCAGTTAAGAAGGTATAGGCGGTGGTGGGCATGATTTGCAACATGGGGGAGGAGAGTCGCGGTAGAATGGATAAACAGTATATATAGTTTGTGCTATGGTAAGAGCAAAGAGAAATATGGCAGCAATTAGAGATAGTATAGCCCAAGGATTTCTGAAGTAGGTGTGAATGAGATTAGCTCGCCATTCATTCCATGCTTTCTTGCAATACCTGTTCACTTTCTTGTGTACCTCATCCAAGCTGCTATCTGGGTCTAGTGTAATATCTTTGGAGAGCGAGTTAAAGAGGTTAGCCACCGCTTTGTCACTTCCAAGAGCATTTTGAATGATCCCTCTCGAGTGTAGGAGGGCGACATCCTTGTCACTATCGATGATGTTATCCATGAAAAAGATAAAAGATGTCACCTCGTTGCCTGCCCCAACATGGAAACGTTCAAATGCTATTAGATTCAGAAACATTGACTCTGTTGCATCATCTACTATGACCACAGGAAGTTTAAGCACCCCCCCATGAAATGTAATATCCTTGAGGCTCACGGTATTGCTTTTCTTGAACCGTATTCCGGCTTCGTTGAGCTCCATTGCAGATCTAATGATGTCATCACCATCTTCATAGTGTATGTTCCGATTCCGTACTGGTTTTCTTTGTGATCTATGTCCAGGTATGTCCTGAATAAGACTCTTTCTGTAGACATCCAAGACATGCAAGCAACGTCCCATGCTTAAGATGTGTGTATTGGGGGAGCAAAACTTGAGTATAAGTTTGTTCACAAATTCCTCATCCTGCATATATATATCAATGTATATAGCTAAGTACAAATTACATGAATTTTTCTGATACAATTAAATTACCAAACCCAAGTGTGCGAACCGGGTCGAAATTCGGATTAGTCAGAGCAAAGCTCTGGATACCGGGTGGGAAACCAAAAAAGAAAATACCAAGAACAAGAATAATTAATAGAAAAAGAAACAAACTACGTACCTTAGTTCTATTGCTATCAACAGCAACTAAAATTTCAACAACTTGCATTGGCAATTGATTTTCGAGCATTAACATATCCCGCTTGATAAATGGCATAATGTGAACCTTCCCATGATTGCTGAAGATTGGGTCATTTGCAGCATAATCTGCCATGGTATGAGTGGCGGACCGCACAACTTCGAGCATGAAACACCCATCAAGAATCATCAGCTGCAAAAATTTGCTGTCATCTTGCCATACTGGATCAAGTGCTTCATAACACTCTTTCAATTTGTTCACCTCTTGAGCTAAAGAGTTGAGAAATAAGTGTAAAGGCTTTTGGGATCTCCTCAGAAAATGAAGGAGAGCTCGTTGCTTGTGCTCCTCCATGGGCTTGAGATGAGGCTCGCCATGATG